TTTAAATATTAGCTACTTACCACGACCTCGTAAACAAAAAGTGCATTAACCAGAATATCGTGCTTATGAATAATCAAATTCTTTTGATGATAATAAATACTCTGAGACTAGTTATTGTTGACATATTTCAGAAAGGAAGTAAATCACGTCTATGAAGAGGAGAAAGAAGGAGGCAAATCGGTAATGGTCAAATTTCCGTCCTTATTTTTATAAAGTTCGCGAAACTGACTGTAGTTGGCATGTCTAATGACAGTGTAGTTAATTTTCCATGTAAGTCAATGTAAAATGAAGTGATTTTTTAAAAAATTGGTGAAAAAATTAAAATAATGTGAATAATGTCTTTTTAAATCTTCTAATGTAAATAAAATAATGTATTCATGTCTAAATATAATATTTAATGTAAACTAGTCAAAATATGTATCTAACGAAGTGTAATTTATTTTATTACAAGTTTCTATAATATAAAATTTTACAGTTATAGATGCTGACTTACAAACAACAATATCTGCAAACAACCTAATGATATCTTAGACTAGTTATAAAGAGAGGGCTCGTAACGTCGCAGGAAATCTTGTTTCATTCTGATACCAATGATATTTGACCAGAGGCGTAACATGTTGGAAATAAACAAATTAATTTATTTAGGTTATTAGTACTTTATTGATCTTTTCAGTTAAATAACAAGTTCAAAGCGTAAAAATATAAAAAATGGGGAACAATAAATAAGGCAAAAGAAAAATATATATACAAAATGAGCCACTCTCGACAGAACGGTGCCTGGTGAGTAAACTACAAAATATATTAAAAATTCCTTCGGCATATACAACTCAACGACGGCTACAAATTAAAATAAGTTTTATATATACAAGGTGTCCCAAACCACAATACCAATATAAAGATTTCCTATTACCATCTTTAATAATTAATAACTTAGCAAAAATCGAGTAGAGAGATAAGTAATTTGGTCAAGTAGATAATAAGTTTTTAATAGCTGCGGAAAAAAAATTCTACAGTCCAGCTGGCCTATTTAAAAATCCGCCACTGAAAACAGTAAGAACAGTGGTGCAAGGACTGCAAGTACCATTCACTCTCTATCAATCCCAAGAAGACAGAAATGTTTCTTTTCACATTGAAAAGGATAAAAATGAAATTAAAATCTTCTCCCAAACACAAAACTAAACTTTGCAACAGAGGTGAAGAACCTAGGTCTCACCTTTGACAGCAAGTTAACATGAAACTTAAACTAAGAAAACGGAGTCAAAAGAGCATACATTGCCTATGAACAATACCGCCGAACCGTGGGGCACATTTGAGGTTTCTTTCCCAAAGTCGCTGAATGGACTTACACGGCCATCATAAGAATTATGCTAACATACGGTGAAGTTTTCTGGGTACCGAATACTCAAAAATTGACTGCTATTCGCAAACTAGAAAACATTTAAAGAACGGCATGTCTCAACATAAGGGGAGCAATGAAAACCACACCGACAAGAGCTATAGAACTCATTTTTAGTCTCACTCCTCTTGATATTTACACCAAGGAGGTTGCTCAGCAAGGTTGGAAAAGAACCTGATTTAGGATCTGGTGAGGTGAGGCGAGAAGTCGCTTTTGGCAGGAGGCACTCGATACGCTTCCACTACTTTAAGCGAACATGGACTCTATATGACCGAGATATATCATCCATAAACCATATAAAGTAATAACAAAATAAATAGAAGAGTCGGAAGTGGCAGGAACGATTCGTATCTATACCGACGGATCTATAACAAAACAAGGCTTAGGAAGTAGAATATACTCCAGATCCTTAAACCTAAATACAAAATGGACTGTGAGTAATAGTGGCAGTGTAGTTCAAATAGAGCTCACGGGGATTCTCATAGCAGCAAAATAAATCACCAGAAACAATATCATTGAAAGGAACATGCTCATCTATACAGATAGCAGACTCACCCTGAATAGACCACGAATTTACTCAGCGTTAGCACTATAGAATGTCACGCGGCCCTGGCTGAAATGTCCATTAGCAATGAGATCACCTTAAGATGGATAAAAAGTCACAATACATCGAAAAGTAACCGTCTTGCTGATTGACTGACCAGGAAAGCAGCCATCCAAATACTTTTTGTTCCTTGCCCTTCTATTGATCTGACATAATCGGTAGTGACAGGCCCAATTTAAGAACATTCCCTTGCAAAATTCAATGAAAAATGGGATGAAACTAGAAACTGCAGAGTTGCCATGAATTTTTTGAGATATCCTGACAACATTACAGCAAACAAATACATTACGAATTCTAGACACAATCTGCACCTGATCACAGGCATCCTGACTGGTCATTACCAAGTACGGAAGCATATCCATATCATGGAGATGTCAGAACCGCACTCTTCACTATTAGAAGATTTGTGTTCGGCGAGTATCGGCTAACGCCGGCCGATATAAGTATATTTGGCGACTTTGTCAACCTTATTAAATCTGTAGGCTAGCTCACAAGCTACGAGGTACCATGGGGTAACTCACCCTCCATAGATGAGGGGGCAAACAGTAGGTCCTCTTCTTCTTATCCATTTTTGAGGAAATCTTGGGTTTAAATATGTCCTGACATGCAAAAAATGGGGAGAGCACCTTCTAGCTGATGCCACATTCTTCACCTAATATCCAAAAGAAGGTTCCAGGAATCTATGTCTTCCTATCATTCCACAAAAAAAGGTTTAAAGACCATCGTTTTTGTCGATCTACAGTTTGAAATTCATGTTTACTTTCGGAAAGTAGATTCCTCAGTAAAGAGTATTTGATGAAAATTAATATCTAGAATTGTACGATACATGGGGCCTAATTATGACCAAACCACAAATATTTTTCACTTATTTAAGGAGCCCCATTATCTACATTATTTTTTATTCTTAAAGGTATTCAGAAAAGGGATATTTGTTAAGGAGTCCACACTCACTAAACGTAGCCACCATCGGAGTGTAATTGGATATATAATTGCTTTGTAGATACTTCAATAATTATTTCTGTTCTTCCAAACTTTCCTGCATTATCCCACCTTTCGCTTCGGGTCTGGCACACTTCTTGACTCAGCAACAAAATTTGTCTTCTACTCCTAATAACATAACATACTATTAAACTTTCGGTTATTTTTGTATTACGCTTACACATACTTTTAAGAAACAAATATCCAAAAATATCGATGTCTGTTTACTACTTTAATTGAAAATTGATTTGATAGTATCGAAATATTGGTTAGTAAAAATTTGATATATCTTTAATCCTGATTAAATCTCCAATAACAAGTTAAGCAAAGAATACTTTTTGTTTCTTTCTTAAAACCGGTACTGTACAAAGTTTTTTCTCGTACCACGTGGTAGTAATTTTCCGGTCGATCATTGTTTATCGATGTCCCGCTGTTTTCCAGATGTAATCAGTGTTAATCTGCGGAGTTTTATCTCACCTCCCCTGTCGCGTTTTAACCGCTTAAGAACCCCACTTATGGGTCGATTCATTTAAATCGGATACCACCGCATATACCAGGTAATGGTCGATGTTATTAAAGATTTCAAGATAAGCAGCAAGAAGCCACCGGAATGGAAAAAAGCTTCTTCGTTTTTTCTGCGTTTGGTTATTAGATACTTGTTGACCTAGGTTAGAGGAAGGTGAAAACAAAAAAATATATTGGTTGACTCCAAGTGTAAAAATAATTATTAATTCTTTTTCTATAATATATATTTTACTTTTACTGAGTAATTATTAACCAAAAAACGAATATTATATTCCTGTGTTTTTATGATTTATCAATTTTATAAACTTAAAAACTGTCCTAATCAAATTTTTTTTTTTTTAATAAAGATTTATTTAATAAACAGAACAATTTCTGTACATATATGCAAATTAAATAATTATTCCTGCAACTACAGACTCTTCAACAATATTCGTATCCCACGTGACCAAACTAATTAGTACTTTACAAAGAAAGTCTGCTTTCTTTTATTTTAATTCTTGCACGTTAATTTATGGTTTTTTTCTTGATAGGTTCTTAGGTTTTTAGGTGATTGTAGATTGTATCTGGATGTTTTACTTTAAATGAAAATCACGTGTGTTTGGTTTATAGCTTTCAGCACTGATTAGTGCCTGCTTCAGTGGCTACTTTGACACCCTTCTAAGACAATTTTCAATACTTCTCCTTTATTTATGAACCAAATGTTGTTAAATAAACGGGATTATAATAAATCTGGCCTACTGAATCCATTGCTGCATTCCATGTTGCTCTTAAAATAATAACTTTAAAGAAATAAAATAAAAATGGGTATGTCAAAATTACCCGGTGTTTGGGGCTACTTTGACATACCTGTTAAATTTAACTAGAACTGCATTTTAAAGAGTCCCAGTGTCAAAGAAGCCCCGTTGATAAACGCGAAATTAAAAAATAAAAAATTTGGGAATTTTTTTTTTTATATAGAAAAACAAGTTTATTCGCCAAATTTGTTTATTCAGAGCGCTTTAAACAGGTAATTACAAAAATAAAACATTCTTATTTTCTTAATCTTTGAATAAAATAAGGAACTCAAGGAAACATGTCTTAGCCTACATTTAACATATAAAAATAAAATTAAAAAAAACGTTTGTACGTCAAAAACGGTATGTAGAATCTAAAGATAAAAAACTAAGAACATATTTCTTTTCTAACCTACCTACGTTTAACATTTAAATATGTAAAAAACATTTGAAATAGTAAAAACAATCCTTTGGTATCTATGGATAAATCACAATTTAAGGATTAAAGGTTTTATCATCCTCGCTGTTATCGGAAAATAGTTCATCCTGATCGTCGCCTTAGTCTTCGCAAGCAGGACACACATAAATGGATCGGTGCTTTCTGAATTGCAAATACCCCAAATCCACTTTTTGCACTGCACATATTCAATCCAGTCAACCCTTGCTTCGTAGTTTTTAAAAAACGTGAGGCAAATGGCACATTTATCGTTTAAATCGCTTTTACCTCGCAAACTTGCTCTGGTGATGTTAATGGGACGACATTTAAGTTTCTTGGCTTTGTTTGTAACCACTTTTGGTGGTATTCCCGATGGCCCTGAAGTGTTTTCAGAGAAACAAGGCAATTCTTCGTCGCTGTTTGTTGCGGGGGATCGAGAGTCTGCTGCATTTTGGATTTCATCACTGGGGATTGACTTATCATCAACAGTCATCTGCTTTCTAGCTACGAACTTCTTTCCCTTTTCTTTTTTTTTGTCTTCGCTTGTTCCCCCCTATTTCTTTGAAAAACTCCTGTAACGTTGAATCGAGCACTCCGGCAGTTTCCTCCACATTTTCAGGCAATCCTCCAGGAATTTTTCTTAACACTTCATTAACATTCATTGGCTACAATCTTGTCGTTCTAAATCTAGATATTAAATTTGCTTTTACAGTGTCTTAAATTGTGTTCCACAGAGTTAAAAGTAACGAGGAGAAGTGTTCTTTGGGTAAAGTCCCAGAATATCTGCCCTCCCTTCGCCATTTTTCTAATATTTCGCGCAACTTCCTCTCAAGGGGTGCAAATATAAATTGGCGCTTTTGTACACAACATTAGGCGAAAGAAGGTCTCCAGCTGCATTACCACAGACCATTATACTGACATAGGACCGAGAATAGTTTTGTACTTGTTCTACCCTACGAAAGTTTCTGGAAACAACGACCTTCTCTGCACCAGGATCATTAGTTTCATCACAATTGTATAAGTTTTTGTTGTCGATGTCACCTAGAGCTTCTCTTATTTTGTCAAAAAACTGAATTATGTCTGTCCTATCTACGGAAGAACGAGATTTTTTAATATTTGTTGCGATTCGGGTGAAAGATTGTTTTTTTTTTTAATAAATTTTTCGACAAAATCAGGTCCAGGATAATTGTCTTTGAATATACGCACTGTTTTGCCCTGTTTATCTTAAAATTGACTACCGCACGAATATCATGCTTGGTTAATGGAAACCCCCATTTTGCCACTTGACATAATGTGTCACGAATCACTTGTTATTCACCGGCAGTGAGAACACTTGGATGACCTAAAGACTGTTGGTGTCTACTAAGAGACTTATTTCGAAGAGTTATTCGGGGATTTTGTAAACAATTGCCGCCCTTTTAACAGGCATTCCATTTTCAATGGCCTGAAGCTCATTTGCTAAATCTTTGTCCGAATAGTTTTTTACCATATTTAATTAGTTAGTACCTATAACAATAGAAACCAGTATTAGTATATAGCAAAAAGAAAAAAAAAACAAAAAAAACACAAAAACAAAAATAAAACAAATAAATGTTCATAGTGTCAAAGTTGCCCCTTGGTGTCAAAGTAGCCCCGTTTGACGGTATTTATGAATTTTTTTTTCCTTATAGTTAAACATTGTTTTTTGGACAGTGCATTTTTACATTTTTGTTTTAAATCCCTTTTTTTATTAGTTACGTTATAAGATTCCTACAAGAAATTTTTTAAATAAGTTTATTTATTTATTTATTTATTTATTTTTAGTCTTAGTCCTGTCCATTATTTTTTTTGTTGGTTTGATGATCCGTTTAATGGTTGAGGTGTAGAGTTTGTTTTAAAGAAAACGCACCATCAAATCAACAAAAAAAAATAACGGACAGGACTAAGAACAAAAAAATATTTTCTTTTAAAAGACACCCCCCAATCTATACTAAGGGTAAGCTATAAACAAGTAAACTACAATATCAAATATAAACTTATTTAAAAAATTTCTTGTATAACGTAACTTATAAAAAAAGGATTTAAAACAAAAATGTAAAAATACACTAACCAAAAAATAATGTTTAACTAAAAGGAAAAACTAATTTAATAAATACTACTGAAGAAGACACTGATTAGTGCCAAAAGCTATAAACCAAACACACACTATTTTCATTTAAAGTAAAACATCCAGAATCTACAGGTCGCTAAAAATCCAAGAACCTACAAAAAAAATAATTGGTGAGAACGAAAGTAAAACTCCCTAGATGTGGATCAGTGCCGTAGATACATTTTATTACAAAATAAGGTTTAAATACGAGAATAACCTAACAAAAAAGCATGTGATTAATTAAAGATACTTTAAACTATTGTATTTTTATATTAGATTTGCAATTCACTATTTTAATTCGAATGAAAAAAAGTATAAAAATCTCATCTTTAAAGTTAAGGCCGCAGTATCACTGTATTTCTCATATAAGAAGCAAGGGTTCACCATTTCCGATTGCATTTAAATCTCGCTAAATGAATTAAAATAAATCTTCTACCAGCTTAAAGTATAAGGTTTGGAGAATGAAATCTCCTATTTTTATTTGTCCTGTTTATACACTGAATTTAAAAAAAATCATAAAAAGTGATTTTAAAACCAGAGGCTAAAAAGTAGGAGATTTCATTCTACATATTTTTCCAAGTATCCCGCCAAAATATTTCTAAATTTTATTGCGTATTTTTCAAATCTAACTGGAAATACGATTAACAAATATTTGATAAATTTATTTGTCAAATTAGAGATTTTCTATGAATTCCTGTAATTGTGTACAGTTCATGTAGTTCATCTATTTTTAAGAAGATGTCACCGTAAAAAACAGTATAGCTATTCTACTTTAAAGATGGTTTTAATAGGTAAATGATTGTTTAGAGGTACCAATTTTTGAAACAGTGATACAGGTGTATGCCGTCTTTTATTGTTTCGTGATTTTCATATATATTTGTCTCGTTTGGTTCCAAATTATCGATTGATTTTGCCTGTGTATGAACAAGTGTTGACCACGTTGCCAGATTATCGATTTATACGATAATTTCACAATTCTTTCTAGGACGAATTTGATTTTAAAGTGGGTGAAATATACAATAGTGAAATGCAGGAAAGGGAAGGAACTTTATTGCATTCCGATGTAAATTAAATCCGAATGACCTGGCATCATTGTATGATACGCACGTAATTGCTGCGTTTGAGAATCCACATCGGATGCATTTTTTACATCTCGAGCGTTTTTTTATCCACATCGGACACATCTACTACATCTACATCTGCGTTTTTTTATCCCAGATGTACCTGTTCAGATTACATTTTTTACATCTCGATTTGAAATGAGATGTGAATGAGATGTTTGTTCCATGCTAGAAAGTAAGTGTTCTGTGAAGCCTTGTTTGTCAATTTTTCCTTTGTTTATGCTAGCATGAATATAAAAGTGATTAGTGTGCTTAATTTTTGTTTATATTTCAAATTTAGGTTGATTTGTAGTCTCAAAAGTCAAATTTAATAAGTATAAACTTCTAACTTGTCATTGACATTTGTCACGTGACCAAATAAAGTCTAGAGCGTTTGTTTATTACATCTACATTCAGATCTAATTCTCTATCACGTGATAAAAAATTCACAACATCTCAGATGCATCCGATGTGGATTCTCAAACGCGGCAAATATTGGCGGTCTTTGCTTTTTTCTCCTGAATGTTATTTTATCTTTATAAGGAATCTTATTTCTGAGTTAACACGTTGACTGCTATGTGTATGTACCCATGTGTATGTCCTATTAGTGCGTAATTGTTCAATATTTTAATTTATGTTAAAGACACGCAAACATGTTTAAAAAAAAAGTTATATGGATTTAAAAAATACATATTTTAAAAATATTTTTAGATATATACAGGGTGCTACATTTTTGCTTGGTATATTTTTAAAATAGAACATGTATTTTATTTCAATTTTAGAATGGTTCGGTAATACTGTATTCAACCTTAGAATAATTTAAAAAAATATTACAGGTCTGCCAAGCAATTAAATTTTTATAAAATTAGAAAATAATGCAGACCCTAAATTAAATTATCATAATTCAAAATTGTTTAATATACTGACTTATAGCACATTAAGATAACGAATAGTAGTGATAGTGCTGGATTCTTTTATAGCGAGTGTTTTGAAACATGTCTTAAAATGGTTACTTTTAAGTCAAATTACTCAATTTTTCAAAGGCAGCATTTGATATAATATTTTAGCATACAATTCCTTATAAATTTGCATATCCAACGATACCAACATGTTAGAGAATAACATATATACAGAGTGTCTCATCAGTGCGTAATTGATCGATAGCTGTTTTATTATTAGAAATAAGAAAAAAAAAATAATATAAAAGTTATATGACCATATTAAAAATTATTCCTATATATACAGGGTGGTCCATAAACGAGATGTTGACCAAACCTATACATTTTTAAATCAAAACACCCTGCAGGTAGTTATACATATTTGATTGTTTTCACGTCGTCAAATAATTTTAATTGACTTTATTCATTTGCTATGTTCTATATAGAGTGTGTCAACACGCGAGGTTACAAATGCTTAAATTTTTTTCAATGGAATATTATATTAATTGGTGGCATAACATACAAGGTGTTCCATTTAGAAAATTAAGAAAATCGTGACCATTTTCACACATCCTATATACAACATAGCAAATGAATGAAATTGAAATTATTGAAACGATGTGAAAACAGTCAAATATGCACCTGCAGGGTGTTTTACTTTAAAAATGTATAGGTTTGGTCAGACAATCGTTTATGGATTATCCTGTATATTTATAAATAATTGTTAATTATGGTCATACAACTTTTATATTAATTTTTTCGTATTTCCTATTATAAAACTGCTATCGATCAATTACGCACTCATGGGACACCCTGTATATGTGTTATTGATATCGTTGGATATGTTAATTTATAAGGAATTGAATGCTTAAATAATATACAGGGTGTGGCATTTGAAAAAAATTAAATAAATTTAACTTGGAATTAGCCATATTTAAGACTTGTTTTTCAAAACACACTGTACAAAATAATCCAGTTCTATTACCACTATTCGTTAGCTTACTATCTTATTACTACATTTAAAAAAAAATTGAAATTATTTTAAACCTACCTAAATAATGATAATTTAATTTGGGGTCTGAATCATTCTCTAATTTCATAAAAAAATTAATTTATTGGCAACCCTGCAATATTTGTTAATAAAATTCTAGGGTTAAATACAGCATTACCAAAGCATTCAAAAACTGAAGTAAAATACAGGGATTTCTTTTTAAAAAATATACCGTTTTATTTGTCAGACAAAAACGCAAAACCCTGTATGTCTAAAAATATCTTTAA